GGATGGTTGCACTGGTGGGGCCAAAGCCGGGAGACCCCAGCCGAGTCTCCCACACTTGGGCAGCAGGGTCCCAAGCACTTGGGTCACCCTCCACTGCTCTGCCAGGTGCGTTGGCAGGGAGCTGGATTGGAAGTGCAGCAGCCAGGATTTGAACCACTGTCTGTCTGTACAGGATGCCGGCCTTCCAGACGGTGGCTTCGCACCCTATCCCTAATGCTAGCTTCTGGTACCCCTTTTTGTGTGTCACTTAGATCTGACTCAGGAAAAGCAACAAACAAAAAGCAGCCTTTGGAATGTGGGGACCATCAAGATGATAATCTTTTCTATGTGGGCATTACATTTTTAAGTTTTTTACAGAAAAAGAAGGAAAAAGAAGTTATGTTTAAAGTGAAAAGCACATGCTTGTGTCTCCTCTAATTTCAGAGGCACTTATTAAGCAAGGATGAGATGAGGCTGAAGAACATGGAACCCTCATGTAGACATGGAATCTACCCTGGTGGGATTTATTCCAAGAATGTGGAAACTAATTTCAACCACTTATAAGTTTTTAGAACAAGGCCTTGCATGTATTTAAGCTTCAAAGAGAAAAGTGCACAAGTGTATGCCAAACATTTCTATGGCGTTCTGCTTGAGAACTTAAAAATTACCACTCCAAGTATGAGGGAATTCAAAATGTTCATGGAAAATGGAATTGAAAGCTATGAGGGCTTTTGATTAAAAAAAAAAAAAAAAAAGCTTGGAATGTGTGCACAGTTTTTGCCTAACAGAATTTCCATGAACTCTTCCAGGATCCCTAGATTTCAAAATTTTTTTCAGTCCCCAAAAATTCATTTTCCACAAACACACTGTCTCATGTTTTCATTTGAAAAAAATAAGCAAAACCACATTTTTTATTTTTTATTTTTCTTCTTATTTTTTTTTAATGAAAACTACAGACCCAGCGCAGCAGTGCCTAGTGGCTAAAGTCCTCATCTTGTATGTGCTGAGATCCTGGCTGTCCCAGCTGCTCCACTTCCCATCCAGCTCCCTGCTTGTGGCCTGGGAAAGCAGCCAAGGAGGCCCAAAGCTTGGGACCCTGCACCCATGTGGGAGACCCGGAAGAGGTTCCTGACTCCTGACTTTGGATTGGCTCAGCTCTGCCGCTCTGGCCATTTAGGGAATGAACCAGCAGATGGAAGATCTTTCTGTGTTTCCTTCTCTCTGTAAATCTGACTTTCCAATAAAAATAAATATATCTTTAAAAAAATGAAAACTAAATTTCCAACTTTTAAATTCCTATTACATGATACAAAAACTCTCACATTAAAAAACTGCTTATTATGAAAAACAAACAAAAACCCGTCATCCCAGGATACCTCTGAGGAAGCACATTTTGGAGAACCACAAAACACTGCATGTGATTCATTTCCATATATTAACATCAAGTCCCCTGGGAACAGGTCCTGTGGTGCAGCACCTTAAGCTGCTGCTTGGGAGGTCGGCACGCCAGGTCCAAGTGCTGGCGAGAGCAGCTTCAGGTGCTCCGCTTCCAGTCCAACCTCCTGCGAGGGAGCCAGTACATGATGGTTCCTGTGCTTGGGCCTCTGCCACTCACAGGGGAGACCCAGAGGACCGGCCCCGGGTGCAGTGTTCACTTGGGAATGGATGGAAGATTTTGATCTCACCCCTCTCCCCACATCTTCACCCTCACTCTATTGCTATTCAAGTTACTGCTGGGGATGCGGGGCGGGGGGGGGGGAAATCAAGTGTCAGTGCCCTAGCACGTGATTTTCCCAGGCCATACCCATTGAGTCGGAGGATGGAGCCCTCTCTGCCACAAGAGTGGTGGCTCTCAGCTACTTCTCTGTCCCATAAAGCTTACAGCAGAAGTCGCCCTCACCCCATGGGGGACACCACCTCTCGCACAGCAGCTGACTCTCCCTCTCTCACCTGCCTGAAACACCGCAGGGAACACGCCCCTTGGTGCTCTCCTGTCAAGCTTCCCTTGGTAGAACATTTGAGAAGAGGATCACTAGCTAACAATCAGGTTGCTCGAAAAGATACGCCAGCCATGCATGTCATTAACCACTGTCGCCGATTTCCAAAATTTTCCTCGTGGATAAGAGCCGACACAGGCTAAGCAACACGAGGACACTCGCACTCAGGGTTCCAGAAAGAGACTCTTCGGGATGCATTCAGACTTGCTGCAGCCCAGACCTGAGGGGAGGAGGGTCTGCGTACAGGCACCACCGGGCCGGCTGCCTACAAGCCTAGAGACTTGGAGACACCTGGGATACTCAGAGCCGGAGCTCAGGGAGGGGAGGATCTCAGAAGCACCGGAGAGCTCTTCAAAGCAGAAGAGAATAAAGCAATATGCAGGCCGCACGCGGAGAGCCACGCTGCAGGGGAGAGTGAACTTGATGCAGCTGTGCTCAGGCACCTGCCCTTCACCCTGCCGGGGTGGCACTGGGCTGACCACAGCCACTCCTCTGGACCTTGCCTGCCTGGCCTTCCCCGTGACGGTGAAAACAGTCTACACTCTGGAGGCTGCTGGAAGGACTATCAGTGGCTGCTGCATGATAACCATTCAATGGATAGCCTTTTATTTTCTATTTTTTTATTATTATTATTTTCATTTTATTTAAAAGATAGAGAGCTCTGCCATCTACTAGTTCACCAGCCATATACCCAAAGCCACTGTGGCGGGGCCAGGTTGAAGCCACAAGCCCAGAACTCCATCTGGGCCTCCCCTGTGGGTAGCAAGGACCCATGGACTTGGGCCATGACATGCTGCTCCCAGGCTGGCATGAGGAGAAAACCAGATTGGAGACAGAGGAAATAGGAACTCAGACTCTCTTAGTCCTAAGCGGTGACTCCACCTCTGTGCCAAACGTCTGCCCCCCAGTGGACGTTCTTCTCCTCAGCCATTAGCCACCACCATCTACAAACAGCCAGCAGAAACTGGAGATGCACCTTGCGAAGGAGACTTCGAGGTCCAAACAGGCATCTGGCAATATCCCAATGTCCACCCAACATTCCCGGGGAGGAGAAGGCCAGGAAGCTGACAAGATGTTCCCCTCACATCATGTTGCACCCCTTCATCAGGTCCCCTGTTAACTTCATGACTCAACAGAGGCTAACCAAGAACAAGCCCCTTTTATTGCATTCCTTTGAAGAAATCTCCAACCAAAGCACTTGCTACAGCGCAGTTCAAAGAGGCCTTAAAAACATCTCCAAGCACAGCAAAACAAACTCTAGAAAAACACTTGCAAGCACCCCGACGCTGGGTGGACAAATAAATCCTTATAGAGCTGGGGGAGGAATTAGAAATAGCCCAGATTCCTCCTAGTCAACAAATTGTTGGCTATTAAATGATGGAATATTAAATCATGGCCGAAACTGTGTTCCTCAAGCACTTTAATGCCAGAGGGAATGTCAATCAAAATGTATGAATTTAAAAAACACTATGTCCCTCAAACACGTCTGTTGTAAGGGGGGAAAAAACTAGCATATCTCATATCATATTTTGTATTATATACAACACACACACACGCCATGCATACCAAAGACACAAGCTCTGCTCAAGGCTCCCATGAAGTGAATCCGTATGTTTACTGGTGTGATGGGATACGCACCACATCCTCCTGGCTTTTATTCCCACTATGATAAAATCTGCCCTACCCAAGTGTGGACATTTGATAGAGATGAAGTGAAACCACTTGTCTAGAGGTCCTTGGGAACTTGTGCCCTCCGTGACAGAATCACAGGAGGTGTCCCACGAGTGAGTAAGCAACACAGTGACGCTTCCTCAAACATTCCTGCAGGGAATTCTACCGCAGATGTTCGTGAACATGGGGCCTACCAAGGCCGGTTACTCCAGACTGGGTTCCCTGCCTATCCGCCACATCTCCCTGGTGACACAGACACTGCAAAGGCAGCTTGCCAGGAGCTCGCTACAAGCCACGAGCCACACCATTCACTCTGCCACGTCGACTGGAACACAGGTCCGACATGCTCCCTCTCTACCTGGGTGGGATTATCCTATTTGTATTCCCACGGAAACTAATTATCTGTCCAAAAAAAAAAAAAAAAAGAAAGAAAGAAAGAAAAGGCAGGGTTACATCAGGTATAAAAACCTGACTTAACTAAAAGAGATTTCCTTTTTTATTAACACCAAATAGAGAAAATCCATACGCAACCCAGATGTACCTTATGGGAGAAACATATTTCTCCCCCTTGTCCCTAACGGGTGCTCTGAGAAACCCAGGAAAACTTCAGCGTCCTGTCTGTCCTCTTGAAAATGACAGAAAGTTTCTAGCTTACACTGGCTTTGACCAAATTATCAGCAGAAGAAAAGTCCAGAACTACTGAGCATTTTTTTCTTAAAAAGAAAGGTGACATGATGACAACCAGCTATGTAAGTGACAAGGCTGCCCTGAATTTCTCAAGAGCAAAAAGCACTTCTAAAAAAGGCACCTCTTGATTAAGCATCAGAATCATTAGATACTCAGGTCTCCAACTATTTGCCTTTTTTATTTTTCCAAATGCCAGCCTTCAATATGAGTGGCCAGGACCCTGAAACCTCGCCCCAGCCATCATCAGCCCTGTGGCGCGTGAACCATCAGACACGAATCATCAGCCATGGTACGCGTGTCATGCCGTGTCACCTAAACAAGCTGCCTTAAAGTTCCCAACACCTTGAGTGTCACCTGCAGACAAACAAGAGTCTCTGACGACGCACATGTTCCTCTCAGCACAAAGATGGGGATGGGGACATTTTCAAATTCTTCTACACTGGTTCCCATGACTCCCTCCCCCATCCCCGTGACCCCAAAACTACTCAGCGCATTGAAAGCTGAGACCGTGTAGATTAGGACCTCCGGCAAGCCACACTTCTTTGACAACCTTCCCACAGAAGGCGGGCCAAGAGACACAGTACAAGTTCTCATTGATTCAGGGCCCTGCCAAAGAAGGACTGGTCCTTCGCAGGATGTCACAACATGAAAGGGGCAACTACTTACGGAAGTATTTCAGGGTCTCTTCGATTTGCTCGGTGGTGAGGTCGATGTTGGCGTCTGGAGAAATGAGGGGTGTGTGGAGCCAGTCATCGTGGTCATAGCCGTAGATGGTGTCGGCTCTTAGCTTGTAATGGGGCAGCTGCTCCTCCAGCAGGCTGATGATCTCGACTTCCGGAAGATCGGTGCTGTTGCACACATCTGGAAGGAAGGAGACGACAGAGAGATGAGAGCCCGGGACTGGTTAGGGCCTTGTAGCTGTCAGTGAATTAACACTTGTGCTGGCCACGGTGACTTTGCTCACTTACCCGTAGCACAGAGGTGCTAGACAGGGCTGTACCAGGGGTCATTTTCTGATTTAAATCCTCTCAGAACTCAGAGCGTAGACTGCTGGGGGACCCGGGGACCACAGTTTGAGAGCTCTACTCTACAAGGTCTATATCCACCCCTCCTGCCTTCTCCTTCCCATTCACAAACCCAACCAGTCACCACATATCCTGAATGTCAGAGGTACAGGGGATACCCCAATAAACACAACACTCAAGACCCCGTTCTTGCACCACTTGCATTCTTTTGGGGCACCCAACAGTTACACCCTCAGGTGCCTGCTCTTTAAGACGTAGTTTAAATAACACCTCTTCCCTGACACACTGGTCTATTTTGAGCACTCCGAATAGATTCCCTTCCACACTCAGGCTGCATAGTACTTGGTCTGCATTTGTTTTGTTACATATATTCAGTTCTGTCTTCTGGGTCTGTTAGTACCTAACTCATTCTGCTATAAAGACGGCGATCTTCATATCCACCACCTTGTACCCCATAGCTCCGGGCCCAGGCGGGGTTAGGAACTTCACAGTCAGGGCCTGCGATGGTTAACCAATTCACACATAGCACAGTAATGCAGGTCTTTTAATTAAGCTGCGAACATGACAGGAGAGGGGTCAGGTTGACCTACCCCATGGTTATTAAGCGAGAAATACAAAGAATTAAATACAGAGAAGGAAATGCTAATGAGCAAATGCTAATGATCATTGAATTCTGATGTCAGCCGCTGTGCCAACCCATTTCACAGAGGCACCTGGGACCGAGGATGGTCAACAGTCCCAGGGAAGCAACAACGGTCTCGTCAACCCAGAAGCAAATCAGACACCTGTGGCACACAGCCAGACAGGAGAGGAGGGTTAACTTTCTCCTTCATGGTGGAAGGGAGTCTTCCATGGTGGAAAAACAACCGAAAGCTAAGAACAGTCTTGAGGTCAATTCTTCACCAGGTTCTTGCTGCATGTCCTCACCTTGCAGAAGCAAACAAAGGTGGGACAGAATGGCCGGAGAGCACCAGGCATACAGCTTGGTGTCCTGACCCTCTGTGGGTTATCAGTAGGAACAGGGGAAAAAAAGATACCTTATACAGATAACACTACACCAGACATTGCAAGGCAGGCATTCCTGGGGTGGGTATTTGGCCTAATCACAAGGAAGTTGGTTAAGATGGCCACATCTTAAAAATCAGGGTACCTGTCTGATACCCAGCTCTGGCTCCTGACTGCAGTTCCCTGCGATGACCCTGGGTCCCTGCCACCCACGTGGAAACCTAGACTCAGTTCCCAGCTCCTATGCTGTGGGTGTTTCTGGAATGAACAATCATCTAGCTGATGCCTCCTCCTTCTCTCTGCCTCTCCAATAAATAAATCCACATACATGGCTATACACACATGCATACGTGGTTTTTTCCGATCATGAGGTGTTCCTAAACATGATGGGTAGGGGGAAGGTAAAGGAGAAAGGCCACACTCTAGCCAGACCCACACACAGGAGCTAACCGGTGCAAGTGGTAATAGGACAAAATGGGTGCACCAAGCTGCAAAGCAGCGGAAAGAGCCTAGGGATTCATTGGGGAAAGCAAAGCAGAAAAAGCAGAGAGGGCCAGTCCCTCTCCATGAGCCATGACTGAAAAAATGCAGGACGGTGATGGTGGGGGCTGCTCCCCCTTCGGAAGCTGCATCTAGAAGGACAGCTGTGCCAAAGATGCACCAAGATTCCTGTGTCCTCTGTGTGGGCAGGGGAAAATGCGGAATCATAGGAGAAGGTTAAGAAGAGCCAGTTATCACCAGCCACAAGGTAAGATCCCCCCTCTCGCAGTCTCCCACCAGCCCACATCACCCCTTCTTAGACAACTCGAGAGGCACAGCTGCGCTGGAAAACGCTGCTCCTTGGCAAGCTGGCATGGTATCGCAAGGTGCCAGGGAAAACCTGAGGCCGTTCTGCAGAACTGGAGGCTGTCCGGGATGTTTCGTGTAGCTGCAGTGGCAGGGCAGCCTGGTCCTGTAGGGCAGATCCACATTTGCATGCGTGGACTCCTCTGTCTAACATGGGAAATATCACGGCAAGCACGCATGGCATTTCTGCTAGTCTCAAACCTCCCCAAACCTGCTCTGTCAGATAGGCAAAGCTCTATCTGCTGCCAAGAGAAGTGATGTCCTCCCTCAGGATAGGCAGCAGCCGGCTTGGAAATGGAGACTCTCTCCTCCCATCTCCCACTGGTAACAAAGCATCACCAACAGTGACGGGCCAGCCACAAAAAAACCCCTCCCCTTTCACTCTCAGGCATCAGCAAGCACCCACACAACTCATTTCTGCGAGATGCCTCACTGTTATCAACTGGCTACCTCTGACCAAAGGGATCTGGGGTTAAGGAGGACAGCTGCCCATTGGCAGGGACTCGGCTCAGCATGGATCTGGCCAAACCATCACTCCCCAGTAAGTAGTTCCACCAGAGGCAATGCCAGCCTGTCACCCAAACAGCAACCAGGGGTCCCAACACCTACCCGTCTCACACGACCACCCCTGCCCCACAACAGGCGCATGTCCATGCTAGTTGGTGGGAATCAGGCGAATGGAATTCAGAAAGCAGGTCCTTTTCAAGGCTGGCAGCTGCTCAAGAGCTGAGCCTGGGCCTGTCCTTTTACATTCCGGGCTGAAGGTCAGTCTGTTTGCAGTGTGGGTCCTCCTGGCCAAGAGATTCGGCTTTCCTTTAAGGCATGTGAGGACCAACAAGGTCAAGTATCAGAGATAGAGAGGGAGGGAAAGAGGGTCAGAGAAAAAGGAATCTCCCCAAAGCCTCAGAATGGCCTGGGGTAAGTCAGGCCAAACAAAGATGGGAGCTGGAAACTGAATCCATGGTTCCCATATGAGTGGCAGGAACCCTGTCGTTTGAGTCTGCTACTTCCAGGGTGTGCATTAGCTGGGAATGAAACCCAGGCACTCCAAGATGGGACTCGGTCATCCTACCGAGTGCCTTAACGACCAGCCCAGACACCCGCCCCTCCTCAGGGTAATTCTGGTTTTGTGGGTGTCTTCCTGGGATCTTCAAACGCCATGGCTGCAATCTGACTTCCTGTCCAACTTGTTCCTCTGCCAGAGCAGACAGCGGTGAGTCAGGAGCAGGAGTGAACCGATGGACAAATGCCCATGACCGCCGTCTCCCTCCAGAAGCCAAGCACACATCTTACAGCTTGTCTAGGGCAGTGGGGAAGTGAGGACCCTTACACAGAGTGGAAGGGAGACTGTGCCATGGCTGGGGCAGGGCCGTCCTGCGCAGGCTTGGTCCCTGTTGGACAGATCCTTCCGGCATCACCCCGACTTGTCAGCACTCCAACCACAGTCCTGTAAAGCTCCCAGCCTTTCAGAACAAATACTTCCTGTTGCTGAAACCCTGAACCTTCTCTAGCACTGCCAGGGCCCCTTCCTGGGCTGCGGGCAGCAGGTGGCCTAGGGACCTAGCCTTCAGTCACAATAGATCTGTCAATTAGTGTAGCTGGCTGACCTTGACCACCGCTCCCATAAATCCCAGCTTCCTCATCCATGACACACAGCAAGCAGCATCTCCGGGAGGGGCAGAGAATGCCACGGAGGCACTGGCTTGGGTTTGGCACACAATAGCACTCCTGGGGAATTCTCCAAGGAACTGATTGATTAAAGTGGCTCTGACCTCAGGCCTCTGCTATGTCTTCTCCATGAAGCGAGCCTGGTGTCCACTTCCACAGGGTGTCCTTGGGGTTGCTGGCCCTGCAGTCAAGGTCAAGGAGAGTTACTGAGCTGTCTCTGTGATCTTCCTCCTGGCACTGGTCTGTCGGGCCTTCTGGGCCTCTGGAAAGTCACTGGAGAGCTTTCTGTGAAGCGTTTCAGCACAGTATCTTTCTAACCTTAGCTCCATTTCCCTCTCCACCAATCAGGTGGTTACGAGGATGGTGTGTGACCCCAAGCCTGGGCCCGAGAAGTTCTGGTTGCAAGCAGGCGCCCCTCACCCACCGCTCTTGGCAAGGACTGCAAATGGCAATAACATTTTCAGGGCTTCAAGCAACTGTGCTGCTCAGCCACTCACCAACCACTCAATACAGACTTGGAAACCATCCCGTGCCCTTGACATTATGAGGACTCCAATGGAACGGGCTTCCAACACCCACACAACAGGCCATCCTGGCAGAGCTGGAGATGTGGGTGATGCCTTGCAGCCCATGTCTGACAGATGCCCTTCTAGAAAGTTCCTCTCTACCGTGGTATCAGAGCATCTTCAGGGAACTCAGGCTGAGTAATTCCCTGTCCCCACAACCGTGGGACTCTGGATTACCAAGGGACCGGTAGAGCTAAAACTTGCTGACTCACCTCCTGCTATAATGAAAGACAATCTGGCTCAGAGAGGAAGAAGACATCAACAAACATCACACGGCAAGTCAACAGCAGATCCGAGACCAGTGCACAGCCTGGGCAGGCTCCACCACACAGGGGCCACAGCAGACAGCACCGCCACCTGCAGATGCTGCTTGCCCAGCTCCCCAAACCCTTGCTGGCCTTCACCTGCGCTCACAAGCCAGCACGCAGCGTGGGCCGCACCACGGGAACACATGGTATAAGCAAGGGGAGCAAGGTGTGGAAGGCATAAGGGCCCTTTGCGATGCAGAGACACGGGCAAGCTCCAGCTACACAGAGGCTTGAAGCCAGAATCGCCGGCTCCTACCGGCCCCCTGCTGTTCACTACACCGCTCCTGCCCCACACTCCCACCCCAAAGGGACAGGCACGGGCTTTCCTGTTCACTCTGCCCTCCTCCACCGCGCCCCCTGCCCACCTCCACCGCGCCCCCGGCCCACCTCCACACTCTTGTGGCCGCTGGTTGGCTGAGAGCAGTGACGAGGGTTTGCAGAAA